GCAATCATATTTAGAGTACACAATAATTAAGGCTTTAGAAACTCAATTTGATTACGATAAACTCTGTGCACGCCAATTTATAAATGTATGGAAGGTCACAGGTTAGTCACTCATGCAACATTATCACGAGAGATAATTGTAGAATGTAATACGGTTATGATAAAAATAACAGATTTCGCATAACTGTTAATTGTTGAAAGTTATTGAGGTCTTGTTTATGTAATTGGAATAACAATCGACTCATGTCCAATCTTATTTTTTTTTGCCCTTGCCTATATAACATGAACAGCAAAACAAACGACGTAAAATCTATGTTTATACCGATTTACGTTGCTATTTCTTAGGGTTAACTTATGGTTCTATGTTAAAAAAGAGTCTTAGTGACCCTTTTTTGAGGTATAAGTTTATTTATTTATTGTATATTTTTAAAACAAAATACATGCGTACCAATTCACTGAAGAAACGATGACATTCACAGAAGTATAATATTGTGTTGCGAATATCGACGCCCTCCACCGAGTTTATATAATTCCAAAAATATATGCTATGACGTTACGCACATCACGTTTGTCTAATAAAATTTACAGTATATTAAAATTTTCCAAAACACAGAAAATTAAACTTACAACCAAAAAGAAAGAAAAAATAAAATAAAAATACAAAAACAAAAAGAGCCTATGCCTGCATTTGATATATATATGTGTAAGCATTATGTGTTAGTGTGTGAGAAAGAGAGAGAGGGTGGTTTATGATTACTATGCATTATTTTTGAAACTACAATATTTACGATACAAGTCGAGTCCAGAAAGTTTTAAAAGATCTTTAGTCTTTTACATTACTTAAGTTTTGAAGCCATTTAGCACACAACAGGATAGGGAATATATGTTCAATTATTCATATGTATATGTATAATAAATGATGAATGAATACTAAATTCATAATAAAATCGCGGCGGACGTGAGTCGTGTGCCACGGTTGCGATCGCTATTAATAAAAAATGCATGTCGAATATTAATGCATAGTCGAGTTATTCATACTATTATTACGATTTCTATTTACGACAGTTTATTTAATTTAATCCTTATTTATTGTAAATATATGTATTTTAATGTAGATAATATATGAATACCTTTCTTTTGGTATAATACGGTTATGTGCTATTGTTAACGGATTTTAATATTATGCATTATCAATTGATAGGCTTTACGATTAAAGGTACATAATTTAGGTACTTTATTAAACAATTACTGAACGGATTTTGATGGAATTTTACAGTAATATAGCTTATACATTAGAATAACGTATAGGCTATAAATTGCGGGGGAAACCGGGGGCACAGTATATTTATATAATAAATAATATATATATTTTTGGTAAATAATTAAGGTATTACATTAATTGTTTATAAATTAAATACTAATTTAATTAATGTAATTAACTATTAAGTATATAATTTTTAATTCACACAAATATTACATGGTTACATAGTCAGTATGATTATTCAATATTTTTTCAACACAAATAAGTTTCCTAGTAGACTCAATCAAAGTGCCTTATCAATATGAAATAAACGTAATCGTTATTAAGTATCTAGATACATCGGAAATGTATGGCTTTAGTCAGACGACAGTCCGAACAGTTTTTGAGGATAATAATTTTGGCAACGGAACCACTCCTTATGCCTTGAATAGCAATCAGATATTAAAGAATACAATGTTATTTAAATTGCGTATTGATAATGTAACTATAGAAATAAAAACATCAATATAATATTGTATATTTAGGTAAGTTTAGATAGAGATGGCTAATCTTAAATTAATTCATATTTTAATTTTGAAATCCTCAGTGGTGAAATTTAACAAACTTCCATAGTTCTGGTAGTAGCGAGTTTGTTTCCCGTAAAATATAAACATTTGTATTTCTGAATATATTATCTATTAATGTGCTCCCGCTAATATAGTTGTGTGCAATAATGGCTGGCTCATCCGTCATACTCGTGAACTCGTGCTGCTTGTGGGGACTGTTCTGTTTGGGTTACAAACACTAGTTAAACTATTTACTTTTGCAATAACATATGTTGGTGGTCACTCTATTCTCCCAAATTTAAATTTTAAAATGAATCTGTATTATTGTAAACATGTACAACATTAATTTGAAAAAAATACGAGCTGAGTTTCTTATCAGTTCTTCTCATCTCGAAATCAATCCGAACTGACGGTAGATTTGACATATGATAAGAGTCTGTAATAGACCTACATGAATAAAGATATTTTAAATTTGAATATCTGTATTGGTGTGGATGTTTTTCTATATAAATACATACATTATGTACGTATGTATTACCTACGTATGTATAAAAAGTTTATTTCTATGTAAGTAGGTATTTAAGTTGGTCAGTTGGTAAATTGTCCAGTAGACACCCATACCATAAGCTCAGCTCTGGGTTTAGATTGGGTTATATGTAGTGGTCTAGAGTATTTATTTTATTATTCATTATAATGATTTCAGGGTTCATAATATATGATTTGTAAATTCTTTCGATTTAACATGTTGTTTAGCAAAGCAAAATGTCAAACAGTCAAATTGGTAATCTCTCCTAGTTTTATAGAAAAATTAATATTAGCTACTCAGTTTACTATAAGTTACTTGTAATTGTCCTAAAATAAAATGTATATTGTATTGAAATATTTGGCAAGGTGTATTGGAAACCTTAAAGGTGGTGAAACATCTGCGTTGCGTCGTGCCCCCCCTCACCCCTTTTGTGAATCACGGGTTGAATCAAGTAATCAATGCAAGCACCTGTCACTTGTTTTTCATGAACAGGTGTCTGTGGTCATTTCAAACACGAATAGCAAACTTTCTGGATAGCACGATATACTCTTTTATATATGTAGGTATTCATTCAAATTATTTATTTTATTTAATATAAAGTTAACAGCATATAATATTATATTATTAACTTGTTATTTTTATTAAAAATACCTACTTTCCTCTACATCATTTATGAAGTGTTATGTACGAATGTTACAAGTAAAGGACGAAATGTAATGCTGAATGTCTTTATTATTATTATTAAATAGGTAAATAGCTACAACAGGTTTATTAGAGGTATATATAGACATACATTAGTTGTCGGTTCTACTCTTAATTAAATGTAAATTCATAGAAGTTCGTTAATTATGTTACGTGTAAACAAAGGTCAATTGTATTTCTGACTGAATCATATTATTTACGCGTTCGTTTGCAAATCTTTCCATGAAAATTTTTACGTTCCCTCAGACAACTCCGGCATTTGGGTCATCTGGATTGAATCCAAGATATATTTTGTTTAACACACGAAGAATAAAGATCTGTTTACAAAATTAGTTTACTATTTAATTATATAAATTAAGATATCTTACTACAGAGAGACTTTTAAGTAAGAAGTATAATATATGTACTATATACCGTATAAATAAAATTTCTAATTAAATCCATAAAAACGATATATGGTACTTACATCATTAATTAATTAAAAAAAAATAATGACTGTTCTTGCTAATCTCTAAAACGGCTGGACGGATTTTGACTGGACTTGACTTAAACTACTTTTTATTTAGTTTAATAATTTCATGCGGACGAAGTCGCAGATCACACCCAGTAAATAAACTATTACCAGTTCACCTCTTGAGAGAGGACCTTTAAGGACTTTTAGGAGGTAGATGAACGTTAGTAAAGTAGAAAGTTATTAAACGAGTTACCTATAGGACGTGGGCCTGACAAATTGGGTTAATTTTACTCTGTCGAACTGCAGTTTCCAAGGTCAACGAGAAATAGCATAACATATGTATTATGATGTACAAGACCGCACCAGATTGACGTATTTTTTTCATGATGGATCACTATTTTAGACATGATGGAATGAAAACAATTACTTCCCCTTAACGCAGTTGTCATGCATTCATCAATCCTCAAGTTTTTTCTTCCCAGACAAAGTACGTAGAAAAGAAATTCTCACTATTTGTAGAGATGAGCCAGTAATATGCACATATTTCTCTTTATAAAACAATGGGCAAATGTGAGAAATAGTTACCATTCAATCTTTGAGAAATGACAGAGTGACGACAAAAACACGAAAGAAAAGTAGTACATAATGAATAGTAACCGATTAATTTACATAATTTATACAGTTTTTCTATATTATAAATATTTTAAGAATTTGAAATTCCTTTATAATAGAATGGAATAATTCGAATGTGGAATATAAAATAATTAAAATCTCAGGACAATTTATACAGCGCCATCTAGACCTAAATTAAGCTAAAGCTAGCTACTAGCTAAAGCTTGTGTTATGGGTACTACATAACTGACACAAATATATAGATTTTTTTTCTAAATACATACATATTGTACATAGAAAACACCCAGACCGATACAAACAAGTATCGGTGCCGTGTAAGGACTCGAATACGCGATCGTTGGAAGTAAGGGGGTGTGTTAAACCACTAGACCACCTGGGCCGTCATAACAAAACATATCATAAATAATTGACATCACAAAATAATTTGACATATCAAAAAATGTATACACTAGTTTTTTTAAATCTTTACGTTGTTGACCCTGTTTCATAGATAAATGAATGTCATAATATTCTACATTCACGTGCGTTGTTTGAGTCCGCCAAATTGGGCTGGAAACAAAAAAGAGGGTCGTGCGGGTGGATGCGTCACCGGCACCACCCTCTAGTACGCACCCTCTGCACACCCCCGACACGTTCGATCGATCCCGGCCACTACTGCCATGCGCAAAGCCCACCCTTTTTGTTTATATTTCGAAATATTCTCAAGTTAAAACTATGCATTTTTCAGGAAAACCCTATGAATTTGTAAAGGATGACTGTTAGTACTAACTAAAAAATAAACATCCGAACTAATAAATGAATCATTATTTTACACTGACAATTCCAGAGGTGATATCATAATTACGTTTGTTTATATAATATAACAATAATTAATACTCACTGGCACTCGTTCATAATTTCTTCCTGCGAACGAACTTGGACTGGCGCAAGTTTTTCCACACTCTCCTCGTAATTCCCGAAGCACTTGGTGATCTTCTCGTCGAAGGTGTTCACCAGATCCTCCAGCGAACCGGAGAAAGTCTCCGTGAAGTTGTCTCCCTCGCCATTCCGCATATTATCCTGTTTGCACTTCACCAATTTTGGTTCATCATTGTCGTTTATTCGGTTGGAGTCAGTTTTAATTTTATTAATTTCACTTTTGAGATTATTGATATTGTTGAAGCGTATGTCATTGCCATTTATGGTTTTTTGTGGGTAATCGGCCGTCGTGAGGCAATCGTCGGCGTCTTCGATTTGCGCGAGCGGTGCTTCGAATTCGAGCTCGGCCATCCTGCCAGCTGCCTCTCGCATGACCGTGCGTCCGATTACGTCGTTTGCCGCGGGAGCACTACCGTACCGTATGAAACTACTCTGTGACCGTATTGTGTCGGATTGGAGCGAAGTTGCTCGATGAAACCGTAGTGCCATCGCGCAGTGTCGAACTCAGTGCCCACCCTCTGCTATACGCCGAGTACGAAAACACTAACTGCAAATTATTTTTTACACATAGTAGATAGGGTGTAAATAGTACGTAACTTTTGTAAACTATTTAAAAAAAAAGAGAGTCATAAACATTCTTTTTTTATTTTCGATTTTTCTATAAGAATGGTAAGCAGACCATATTTATATATTACGTATCGTTTTCAATTATAAACATTAAGCAGGTTTTTATAAAAATATCTATCAAAAGGGTGGATAATCCAATTATAAATTATTAAGTTACGTGCGCAGGTACCTAATTGCTAAATAGTAAAACCTAACGTATTGTTCTGTTGTTCTGTCTATGTGTATATGTATAATAGGTAATATATGATAGATATTAATGTACTGCTACCTGTTGGGAAGGTGTGTTGCTAACAGTGTAATAGTGAGTTACATAAAAGCGGATAGTGCAAAATTTTCTCCTCGTATCTACTCATCCCGTATAATGACCTCGCTAATGATGTGCGTTAAGTGGACGAATGGGAAAGTGCTCCCACGATCTTATTGTGATTGGACTGGAATCCGGCAGTTCTTATCCCTAAGTATGTGAATATTTATAGAATTTTTCTTATAAAATGCTATTAGTGGACGATAACGGTAAATGAAGTCAACTAGCCCACTGTGACTAAGAGGATTTTGGGAGGATTTGGAGGAAGAAGGGTATTGTTAGTAATGGTTCGTTATATTACTAGTAATCTGTCACGTCAGATCGACCTCCACGCGGGTTCCCCTAAACACTGTGAATAACGCCTGGTGAGTGGGGGGAAGAGGATTGTTAGCAATGGGTACTAGTAACTCCCATTGCTAGCAATGTACCATGTTAGGTCGACCTCCACGCGGTTCCCCCTGGAAACCATCGTGATGAATTCTAGGTGAATTTGTCATGATGGGCTAACTAACCTGACCTCATGTTCATCTTATCATCCTCACCTGGTGCCCCGCCAGCGTAAGCCCCGTTAGCGCAGGCGGGTGCACCATTCCATTATCATTCACAAAAAAAAAACTCCTGGTGAGTCCTGGTCCTGGTCTGGTCCTGACCTGGTCGAAGGACTAACTTACCTAAAATCATGCTTATTGTATCATCCTGAACTGGTGCGCCTCCAGCGTACACCGGTAGCACATAAAATTCCATTATCATCTATAAATTAAATTGAAAAGGCGATACACATATGTACTCAGATATAATCTCCAACGATAATAATATTTCGTACTCTGAACTACTCTGAACCCAGAGTACTAAATTAAAAACATGCATTTTATTTTTATTAAATAGTTTTACGGCTTTGGATAAGAAATACAAATTACATTGATATTGCCAAAAGAGAACATTTCCTCATGAAATGTAGATGAAAATTGGAGTTCATTATTATAATTTAAATCTAAAGTCTTAATGTCTGAGATAAAAATTTTGTTTATGAGTTAAGTTTAATTCGTTACATAATTTAATTTGTAGTAATTTCCTCTATTGAATAATTATTATTATGACTTAAAATGATTATATTTTATCTGTACATGATATATTATATATTTTTAATTGGCCTTACTTTTTACTTTTATTTCAACTTATGGAAAAATAATGTTTTTAAAAAAGTTTTTCTCTTGTTTCTCACTCTTCTTTTCTCTTGTCACCTTAAAAAACATTTTAAAATTAAAGAAATTTCCTTGAAGGGGATATATATATATATATAATATTGGCAACACTCACTGTCGCTTGACAGTTAATTGACAGCTTGTCAGTTTGAGTGAATATATTATCAGATACAATTGTTTGAACAAAAAATGGAAATTGCCAAAACATGAACTTTCAATACAATTTTAGAGAAATTGGGTAGACAAAATCGTAATGTATTTTATGAGACGTAATACTGACTTCAAGTCAATTTGCACATTTGTTAGGTTTTATAGGTAAGTTTCATGTAATTAGCAAAATAATGTAAATATACATCGTAAGGAATATTTTCATTTGATTCAATGATCTGATAACGTAATATAAAAATAATTATCTTTTCAGTGTGGCTAAAAAGAATTATTATGAAATACTCAATTTACGCAGAAATTGCACAGACAAAGAAATTAAAGATGCTTTCATTCAAATGAGTAAAGAAGTAAGTTTGGATTTATCATATCTTAAATCTTAAAGATATTGGTTCCAGTTAGATATATATCTTATTTACCTGTACCCTGATGTCTTGGCGGGTCATAATACCAGCCGATTATTAGGGAGATATACTCCCTGGCATGTATACCAGTGGGTTACTTATTTACATGAATATTTGTTTATTTATAACAACTTGTACATTTCGAAGATTGCTCAATAATGATGTATTGAACTGAATAAATGGTAGCATTGCTGTCAATTACAGTTGATTATATAGCATACTAGGACATGTTTAATGCATACATTTAGTGGTTTGCATTCTTTGATTCCATTTTAGCAACTAATGTTATGTAATTGTATGGGAATTGATATAATTGTAATATTTCTTGTATGTGGGGAAGGGGATTGTTAGTAATGTAGACAAACTACCCATTGTTATGTATTGATCTCTATGTCAGGTTGATCTCTACTTAGTTCCCCCTGGAATCCATTGAGATAATCTCCTGGCAAATTTGCTAACTGACCTGACCTCATGCTCATCTTATCATACCCTACTTTTTCATGCCAGCATAAATCATGTGTCGCCCGCCAAAGGCCCGAGCCGCGGCACGGGCCACAGGTGGGGCAATTCAACACAAGTCATTGGACTGAATCTGGACTTTTTTTTGCAAATTATGCACTTCAGTACATTCTATATGGATAATAAATATATAACTAATTGCTGAAGAAAGATGTGTGAGATAAACAATTATCAGATAATTTTTATTAATATAATTAAACCCAAAATAATGATTGTTCTAAATTTTGTCTGTGCATGTTAATAAAAGAAATTAGTTAACCAATTTTGGGCATGGTTTTTACTAATGTATATAGACAATTTATTTAAATAAATTATCTGTGCATGTTACTACAAGAAACTGGTTAACCAATTTTGGGTATGTTATTTATAAATTGATGTGTATATTGAATTTCAGTTAAAATTTAGTTTCTATTTATTTCAAGGATGAAATCACATCACTAACTAAATTTGTTTACATTCTAGTATCATCCAGACAAAAATAAGGATGTAAAAGCACAAGAGAAATTTGTCAGTGTTGTGGAGGCCTATAACGTCCTGGGGAAACCATGCAGTCGTGCACAATATGATAGTATGTTTACTGTGGAGTCATCACATTCTACCAACACAGCATATGTTTACAGAACTCATGTGCCATACAAGTGAGACAGTTTTATTTATTAACACCATAATTGTAAGTGCCATTGCTTATTCTTTGTAATTACTAAAAATTGTAATATCTCATTTAACCTCCTACAAATTGAAATTCAAAGCCTTTATTAATTGACATATAATTACACAATGTAACAGAAATATAAGAATTTGAAGATACAATAAATATCATTTATATATGACAATTGTAACATCCACAGTGGGCCGGCAATCTTTCTAAGATCATCAGACCATCTTTAGTACTGTCTTAATTTTTTTCACTTTGTTTTATAACTGTAACTTCATATAAACACTCTTTATATGTATACAAGCTGATAGTCAGGTGGGCCGTTACGCGGTATGTCGTAACTGTCTTTATATACATGTACACCACAAGTGTAACTTTATCATGTGACAGTAGTAATGCTGCAAATGTAATGACAACATTTACATTTTGTCATTACAGAGGGCTAAGATGATCATAACTCTTATTGGGTAATTTCACAGTCTAATGTTATCCTACAACTGATACAGCTTACCAAGCCTCCAAAAGTTTGGTTTTAACTTTTGTAGATTGAAATAGGTGAGACGGTACCTCAACCAACTTACATAGATCACAGATATCCTTATCGTTGTATACCTTATAAATCTGCTGTGTTTACCTAAAGTAACTAAATGTAGAGTCACTATTAGTTATAGATATTATATGCTAAAACTTACTATAATTTGTAAATTTATAAAAAAAATATGTTCCCAGTATACTTCCACTTATCACTAATTATTCCAATTTTTTATGTATGTTTTCAGTTTACGAAACAACCCCAAATACAGTTATTATTATGAACATCAAAAGACATCAAATACAAATGAACAAGCAAAGCCACAGGGAGTGACAGTTAAGAAATTGCCAAACTATATTATCATTATGATGTGCTTTGGGGTCGCTTTAATTGGAGTTATTTTGCAGGTCTATGTCATCAGGTAATAATAACAAAAGTAATTAGAAATGATAGGTCAATAACCAATAAAATTAATAATAATAGCTCAGGACAATTCACATAGCGCCATAGCGTCCCAAACTAAGCAGAGCTTGTGTTACGAGTACTAGACAACTGATAGATATATTTAAATACATTAAAATACATACATAATAATAAATACATTCATGGAAAATACCTAAACCAATACAAATAATCAAACTCATAAATACAAATGTTTGCATTTGCATGGTGAGAGGAATCGGAAGGAAAAGGAACCCAAGGCGATTGGAAATAAGGGGGTGCGTTAAACTGATAAACTGTCTCAATTATAAACACAAAAACTGTGTAACAAATATGTGTTTGTGTCATAAAAGGTATCAACCCAAAGGCCAGATGGAATAATAATTAAGTAGTATATATATATATATATATATATAATAAAATATTTGTAGTTATTGAATAAAATTGATTAAATGTCTGATCATCTGGATCAATGGCTGTGTTTGTCGAGAAACTATTTGCCGTGCACAACCACATTTTGCAATCACCTTCCAGCAATGGTATTTCCGAAGTGAATACTATATTGAAACCTTCAAGAAAAGAGCTTATTCTTTAAAAAGCCCGTAACTCACCTGCCCCTGGTGATGCTTGCTCATGGGCGGCTGTAATCATTTACCTACAGGTGAGCCGCCAGTTCATTTGTCCCATATGTCATAAAAAAAACAATTATTGTTTCTTTTTAGAGAGATGTATCTAAGTGGTAGCCGACAATCTATGGAAAGGTCTAAGCATTTAGCAGAAGAATTGGACAGGGTGCGAGGTACTGCACATGGAAAGACCAATGAGGTATTTTGTTTTTTATAATAATATAAATCTTTATTGGAACTCAATAATAATATTTTACAAAATAGGATAGTGGAATGATCACAGCCACATTATTTTGTACATATACAATACCATATATATATCCGTCATACTCGTGAACGAGTGCTGCTTGTAGGGACTGGTCTACTCTTATCACTACGACTGATTTAATCTTATTGTGTTTTTATATTTGAGCCTAAATACTTGCTGCTACTGCGTGCTGGTTGGTAGTTTGTATTCACACGTTTCGACTTGTAAATGTGAACTCCAAGGATTGTTCAAAAGAGCAACACACAAGTTTCTTGCTTATTCTTCTTGTGATGAGACAGCTTTCCGAATAAGCGGTAGATTTAAAAAAAATGTTGACTATTCAAAAGTGCTTAAATTACGTTTATTTGAATAAATAATTTTCTATTCTATTCTATATTACAATACTATTGTAACCATAGTGGTAAAAAACTCATTTTATTACATTATGTAATTAGAATGGCAAACAAGCTGACGACTCACCTGATGGTCAGCTGTAACCATCATCTATATACATAGTAGTAGAGATTTCAATGTTTCTGCCAATGTCTAGGTTGGAACAGACAATATGGGACAAGGAAGTGTAGTTTTTTTTTTGATAGATGATGATGATGGAATGGTGCACCCTCCTGCGCTAACGGTTTACGCTGGCGGGGCACCAGTGAAAGATGATAAGATGAGCATGAGGTTAGGTCAGTTAGCCCATCGTGACAAATTTACAAAGAATTAATTACGATAGTTTCCAGGGAGAACCGCGTGGAGGTCAACCTGAGATGGTACATTGCTAGCAATAAGATCAGTAGTCCACATTACTAACAATTCCCTTTCCCCCAAGGAAGTGTAGTAATTAATCTAATGTTATTTTTGGACAGACTTGATATCAAATCTAATAATAATTCTTTCAGGAACAAACACGCATGTTATTGGATAAAATAGTGACAGCTGCAAACCCTACAGTGGCGACGGCTTCCCTTGGACAGGCACTGGCCAGCGAGAAAAAGTAATTTTCAGTTCTATAGAACTAAGTATGTAGTTAGATTGAATGTAGCTGAATTCAAATTTAGAACGAATTTATTTTTAACATTTTAATTCGTAGTTCTAGACTTTAAAATGTGTGTACTACTATGAAGCCAAATGGAAAATGCTCTTTAGTCTATGAATTCAATATGTATATTTTTTGCTGTTTACGGTTGTTCAAAACAGATGACAAATCATTATTAATAAATATTATTTTCAGCTACTTTGATTGTAGCGATTAAGTTTATTGATTTTGGCTACAAAAAATATTAATGCTTCCGAATTGCATTTGGTTTTAAAATAACTAATTTGGGCTTTTAAAAATAAAACAGAAAACGTTATAAAGAAAAAAAAATATTTATAAAAAAATTGCAAAATTTCTATAAAAAGATATCAAATGTTATTTTAATTTTAAAATCATAATATATGGTGCTCTATAGTTTTTCTTGAAATTTAAAGTGATTTAATAAAATTACTCCTTAAAAAAGGAATTAACATTAAAAAAGGAGGAGGAACATTAAAAAAGGAAAAAATATAGGAATTAGGAATAAATAACGACAGAATAAATACAGAAATAAATTAATAAAAAAAATTAAGTACTCACGACCACTCAGGTATTGTAAACAATAATATTTATGCATAACAAAAATATTTACTAATAGTGATCTGCGACTTCGCCGATCCAATTCTGTTCTTATCGTTCTCATAGGTATCTTAAAGAACCTTTCCTTAATGTTTCTGGGAGAGGAACCTATATTAAAAATATGAAGTCTTTAGACTATGAAGTGGTAAATTAGTAAGAACACAATCCTTTTATAATTGTGAGTTAGTGGTAGAATAAAACAATATTATATGACTATTCAAAAGTGCTTATACATATTAGTTTATAATATTTGAACAAAGATTATTTCTATTTCTATTTATTAGTAACTCTTAAATTAGTCTGTTGTAGAAATGTATATTATTCTTTTATATATTTACATATTTGAATAGTTTTGGAATGTTTATTCGAGATAAATGCCAGTGTTTTAATGAGTAAAACTCAGTACATACATAGTATTAACTGTGTTAATATGTTTACTTGTATAGAATAAATAGATTTGTACAGTAAATTGTATAGATTATAATACCTCTTGTATAAATGTATTCTAGAAAAAAAATAAATTTTATATCGTTTATTGTACATATTGTTACATATATTTTATGTACATATTTAATAAATATTTATAGTATGGTGTATATGGAAGTATTTTATTGTACCTATTTATATGCTGAATAATAGGTTCTTAAGTAATTATAAAATTTATTGACTCCAATTTTACATAGTTGCAGTTATTCTCATGAACTAGAATATATTAGATTCTTATGTAATATAGTATTAAAACTCGTATGTAAAAATCGATATGTTCTGTCGGTTTGTGCTTATTTTTAATGGATAATAATGGAATAGTGCACCCGTCTACGCTTATGGCGGGGCAGTGGAAAGATGATCAAGAGGTTAGGTCAGCTAGCCCATCGTCACAAATTCACCAGCAATTTATGATGGTTTCCAATGGCAACCGTGTGGAGGTCAACCTGACATGGTACATTGCAAGCGATGGAGTCAACAAAACACATTGCTAACTTGTTAATATATTAGTGATACCTTAATACCAGTGGGTTCGATAGCCTACATTATTAACTATGCCCTTCCCACTTGTTAGTTCGTACTTTTTTTTTAAGGATGATTTAATGGTGCACCCGCCTGCGCTAACGGTTTACGCTGGCGGGGCACCAGTGGAGGATCATAAGATGAACATGAGGTCAGGTCAGTTAGCCCATCGTGACAAATTCACCAAGAATTTATCGTATTGACCTCCACGCGGTTCCCCCTGGAAACCATCGTTCCAGGGGGAACCGCGTGGAGGTCAACCTGACATGGTACATTGCTAGTAATGGGCTATTAAGTCCACATTACTAACAATCCCCTTTTCCTCCTGTTAGTTCGTACTGCATGCTGCTGACATACTGTTCATCCTAATGCAAAAGAATTTTGTCAACTTTCAACTTATTTCTGTCACCTGATTGAGTAGGTTAAAGGTAAAAGTATATTATATATTTCTGGGGGATGGAATGGGGAAGAATGCCATGTTTAAACTGAAACACAGTTTACAAAGTAAGGTGCTTGGCGCGTGAATTATGAATATATAAATATGTTGTTACTGATTATATTAGAATTACTCTCATATTCCAGATTTCAGAGTGAATCGCTGTCAACAGATATTGATGTACTGGACGAGTCTTACAATTCGGCGATGAGGCAAAGCATGAAGGTGAAATATATTCTAAATAATTACTTGTGCAGAATACAATGCACATGTAGGGTCCACCTATTTTTACCGTGTGGAAAAATCTTCAAAAGAGCTTCCTCGGGCCAACAGGATAACGACGAGGTGTATGGGATTCTTACCCACTAAAACCACACGGTTTACCTACGAGCGCCATATCCGGAGTCTCGGGGTCGCGTCAGCATTCTACCGCGACTCCGTAGGAACCACCTGGGAGTGCGTAATAGGGAACTATGTGTAAAAAATAATGAAAACTAGCCTTATTTTTGGCTGAACTAAACAATTTTGCAAGCAGTATTGTTTGACGTCATGGAGCCACTACGTATAGTCTCTATGCAGGGCATTCGTATGAAAGAGAGAGTTAACTAGTGGGTCTATTTGACTCATTTGCATGTGACGATTTTGGCAATAGTCTCTGCTCTGATGCCAGATTTGTCTTTTCTTGAAATTTGTTATAATAAACGTATTTTTGTTTCAGGAATGTCTAACAGACTTCTCTTTTAAAAGTTGGTACTAAATATAAAAGTGATTACCATGTCCTTTGTAAATATAACGTACCGTAATAAAAATAAAATTATGGAGTAAAACAGGTTATTTTATTTAGTAACAGTTAAAATCAATTAATATATATAAATAAATAACCCTGATCAATTAACACAGCGCCATCTAGTTCCACGGTAAACAGAGCTTGTGTAGTCGGTAATCGTTAACCAGTCAAAATATTTATTTAACGAAAATTTTGTCATGTCATTAGGCGATTTAGACACAATAAAAGGCTGCCTGTCCAGTTTTAGTCTCTATAAAGGTATTAGATATTTATGGTAATCTTTACCAGTCAAAATATTTTTTTAATGAAAACTTTGTCATATAAATGTGGCGATTTAGGCACAATAAGAGGCTTCCCGTCCAGTTTTAGTTCGGAATAGAGCACTTGGTAAACACACGTGAAGCCGAGCCTCTCTGCGGACATCGCCGAGTAGGCACTTGACGTGTCCATGCGGATTAATCTGATTCCTTTCTGTTCTGTGACCCGTCTGTAAAAGATAATTTATCATATTTTTTTATTGAAATAAAATATGTAAAAAAAACATGATTTTGTGGACTGTTCTCAATTTAAAATAGCTATGATTAATAAGTTATATTCGATTGGTATAAACCAAATGGCCAGGATATTGCGTAACGTAACTATAAATATTTTTGTTTTCAAAAAACCTATTTTAATTTTGACCTTTCTATTAAAATATGATCGTCAAGGCTGTTTCAATTGGAAAAGTTAAGCGTATAGTATAGGCTATATTTATTCATTATAGTATATATCTATATGAACCTCCAGAATTCACACAACGCTATCTAATCTACGCCATCTAATCCCACTAGTCCCACTAAGCAGAGCTTGAATTATGGATGGCAACTGTTACATATACTTAAGTATATTTTTTGTAACATACATAATATACATAGATAACATCCAGACCAATACAAAAATCATACTCGTATACACAAATGTTTACATAATGCTAGGAATCGAACCTGCTACTAAGTAATAAGGCGGTGTACAAAACTGCTGGTCTATTTGAGTGCGGGCAGCGCCATAGGAATTTCAACAGCGGTACAAAAAATTCCATTATACTCACTCGGTTTCTTTTACTAAAGCGGTCATTATTCCCCGTTTTCTCCAGTTCTGGTCTGTAGCCACCACTTTCACTTCCACCAGCCGCTGTTCTTCTGGAAACTTCTCCCAAAGTCTCGCGGACTGTTCCCGAAGGGCGAGAATGTGTAAGATTTTCTGAAATTTCTTATTCTGACACCTTTGTGCTTGGCTCAGTAAATCATTACCATTGTCGTCCTAGAATTAAAAATAAAAAAAATGTCATATTAGCTGAGTGACTGACATAACTAGATGCTTCAATTAAAAACTAGCATGAAACTCTACTTATGTTATGTGAACTCAACTTAAGTATACACTAGGTAGGTAGGTATGCACTTATTGTAAAATCAATATTCTTTCTGCATAACGGGTAAAATTATGCGTTTACAACCAAAAGATAATCCGGCTCGATGGACGAATAGTGGTAAGAAGTAGCCCAAAAGGGCAATGAAGCTAAAACGTATGTAGAATATTGATGAAACTTTGTTATTTTCACCAGTACACAAAGTGGAAATCTGGAAAATTCATTTGACTTAACCTTAAACTTAGACTTAAACATAATGTAGGTATATTGATATAATTTTTTTTTCTGTTTTCCACTTTGGTTTTGAGGAAGGTTATTCAGTTTCATGAACATTTACTGGGTTTCAGCTTGATTAAGCCGTCTTTTGTTTAGCACATTTATAAAGTTCTATTATTATTAGGTACACCCTTTACGCAGAACCTTGTATGTATATATTTTAAGGGTTATCTGTTAAATCTCATCCTTGATTTCGCAGTGTGAATTCATAATATAAAATATTTTGTTACCTCTTTTAGAGGACTAATGCCATTTATTATTACACCCACTATGTTGTGTTCATTATCTATGGCTTTAAAGGACAGTCCTTCAAGCAGTGAGTGTGTACAATACTCGTCCAACTCAGCACAAATACCATCGGTATCGCACAATTCAACGGTTTCATTTAGTGGCTCGTCTATGTAGAATGTTCTGGAACAATTAATATCTTAATATTAATACGTGAAGGGAAAACTTTATATCCCTTTTTACTAAAATCATACCGATTGAGTAGTATAAAAATTGGTACAGTAAAGTTTATATGGATAAAGAATAGAATAGAAAATTATTTATTCAAACAAACTATGTAAGTTTGTTTGAATAAATAATTTTCTATTCTAGTACTTTTCGTTTCGTATATTCGTAGTACTTTTGAATAGTCATCGCTTATTTTCTTTAATCTATTGCTCATTTGAATAGCTGCCTCGTGAGAAGAAGACCGAGCAAGAAACTTGCTTGTTGCGTTTTTGAATAATTTAGTTGAAAGAGTACAGAAATATAGTATTTTTATAGTAATCAATTATTATATATTAAATAAATAAAAATACCGCGTTACTGTGGGTTTGAAACATACATACACATATATACCTACAGAAATATATATCTATTTTGTTTATAGTCTTTGACAATAATAAGCTTTCATAACGTTTTTAACATTATGAAATTCTTAATGTTCTTAATATCAAAAAATATACATAAGTATCTAGTTCTATCAGTTGTTTAATAGTGTAAAATAAGCTTACTAAGGAACGAAACTGCTCTGTGTAAATTGTCCTTTGTTATTATTATTAGTACTTTTTGTAAATTAGGATTTACACAGTATTTGTTTCGTTCACGCCATCTGGTTGTCATAAAAAAAACTACATTCGTCACAATGAATTTGCAGATGTGACCAGATCTTTCTGGCAGATGCGTTCCACATGTTAGGTCATCCATTGTGCTCCGCTTTGGTCCCAATCACAGAGCAATTAACACAATGTTTTATAGAATTAGAAATAATATTTTTTAATTAAACTTCATATGAGCATTTTTGAATAATAATAAGAATAAATAACCCTGGACATTTAACACAGCACCATCTAGTCTCACGGTAAACAGAGCTTGTGTTATAGGTACTAGACAACTGATATAAATACTTAGATATTTTTCTTTTTTTGTAAATACATACATAATATACATAGAAAATACCCAGACTATACGAACAATCCTACTAATGAATATAAATGTTTGCACCGTGCGAGGAATCGAACCCGCGAGGAAGTGAAGCGGTGTGCTAAACCGCTGGACCGTCATATAATAATATATTATTATATAGGTAATAGGTATTTATTCATATTATATTTCATTTAATTTCAGTATCGTATTCATTTCAGTATTGTACTAGATCTATGAATATATAAAAGGAGAGTAAACTCAGATATGACCGAGGAGAGGGAAGAGAACCGGCGGAAGCAGATAACTTACGTAGGTACCGATCTTAAATTCTGGGATAGATGTAAAGGGAATAAGATAAGATGAGATCCATTATGAATAAAAAACAAATCTTTCATATTTGTAACATTATGGAAATAATATTAATATCTACTTACTTTTTAAGAAGTTTCATAACATTTTGTACGTCGTCTGCGCATACCGGTTCCACGGTGTAGGTCGGTTGCGCCATTGTCCAAGTTCGAGTCTCGGCAGGAACAATAGGTGATTATAAAGTTATTCATAGATTCAGTACTGTAACATATAATTAATATGTTATAATTATGTGATACATTTAATTAATTTTCCATTGTTTCGTATATTTAATGTAAAGTGTAGAAACTTTTTTTTATACTACGATGGTGGCAAACAAGCATACGGCTCATCTGATGGTAAATGGTTACCGTAGCCTATGGAGGTCTGATATACCAGGGGTGCCACGTGCGCGTTGCCGATACTTAAGAAACTTTAATATACCTTTCTTGAAAAACCCCATGCTGTAGTCTCATGAGAAAACCTTGGCAAGTAGTTTATTCTACAATTTAAGTATACGTGGAGGAAGCTCTTCTGAAACCGCATTGTCTAAATCTCGTAAAATATGACTAAAATATACATAGACGTAAATATTTTATTTTTATTATGTTATGTTTTATTTTTATAAACATCTCCAATTGAACAAATTTTTAAATAGCGTAGGGGGTATATAACATCCTAACCATATTAAGAGAGTTAAATTCAGAAATTTTTAACATATTTTTATACTCTATTTATGCCTGTTAATATATTTTCTTCCTGAAATATAGATAGAATAATATATATAATAGATACAAAAAAAAATTAAGTAGTAATATTTCAGAAAATAGTCATTATGGGGTCGAAAAACCCTCCAAAATATTGCTTTAATAAAAAAAAACTATTATGATTTTTTTTTATAAAATCACTGTGATTTAAAACGATATTGCTATGTAGGTATCTTTAGAACTAGACATACATAAATATGCACAAACAAAACAGGTATGCACAACCAATTATTATTAATGCAATCTACGTAATTTCGATTTAATAGACTTATCAAGAATCTGAAGTAAAATATTTGTGTACTCACATTATCATCTGTCATGAATTTAAATCTTAGGTCTACAATTACATAGTTTATTTTACTTTGAATAGATAACCATAAACAAATCAATAGAGTAACAAGTGTTTTGAACGTTTCGCGCGCAAACCACAACTAATCTTTAAGCCCCATTGCACGCTCAACATTAGCATAGTATAACGGTGAAAGATAAAAAAATGTGTTTAAGGCGACAGCAATCAGTAATTGATAAGTTTTTTTATTTTTATTATTTAATACATAAAATGATAGTGATTTATTGATAACTGAAAAGATAAATATAGTAGAAGTTGCCGACTTGATGGTATATCGTTGATTAGATTAAGAGGTGTTAAGGTGCGATCTGCTTGTTACAAATTGAACAACGTGCTAGATTTGGGATTATTATATTTCACAAAAAAAAATTTTTTTTTTATAAATTATACCAAAATAAAATATATTTTTCGGTTAATAATTTAAACTTTGTTTCAATGTGACAAAGATATCTTTTAATAGATAGGGGTATAAATAATTGGATCTAAATTTTAAGAATATTTTAAGAAGTCAGTTGAAAAGAAATATTGTAGTTAGGTACAAAGTGTGGTCATATCATACCTCTTATATCACTGTCAAGTCACTGGGACTATATCCAGCAAATAGGGCAGATATTCGAGCAGTTTGAATCCCTTTTCTTTAAACGCAGAAAAGGTATGTAAGGTAAGATAGGTTCAGCTATCGCAACAGCAGCTTTCTGAGCAGATTTACAATACTTCAGAGTCCAAGTCACAACTGGATCAAACAACATTCCAGCTCGCAGTTTTCCGCGTCCTTTTTCTCCCGCAAACTTCTTATTTGGTCTAAGTCTTTGGTAGTAAGAGCCCATAATAGCAGCTACGTTCCCAAATATTCTTTTATAATATATCTTCAGTGTACCAAAAAAACTAACGGCAAATACGCTGAATGCTACTTTGAATTTATTCGGCATTAATGAGGATGCTCTCTTGTGAATCATTGATTATTGTTAGTTTCAGAATTAAAATTGTGGGTTCAGTCTCGTCAATAATGACGAATAGCAAAAAAAAAATTGTGTAGTTCACCTTCAAAATATCCTTTTTTTTTGTCTGTTAACATTCTAAATTCATAAAGTGCATATTATGGTATTACACATGTCCTCCGAAGACAACTTGGAAAAAAGTCATGATGGCTGGTATCGGGTCACTCTTCGATCAGCCATCATGAATCATCATCAGAATATAACTATCTCTGTATAGTAGAGGTTGCGTCTCCTTAACTGTTACACTTCATATTGTTCTCTATGTACAGATATATTTATCTTTGCATAAGTACAATTGTACTTAGATATATACAAGCTCGTGACTTGTTTTTCAATAAGTTCTGAATGATCCATACTTATACTAATATGTATGTACTTGTCTATTTGAATTTTATATCGGAATAATAATTAGGTAGGTACCGACAGGTTATTTGGTTGGCCATTTTTTACAGCAAATGTCTGTAGTAATATATATATATATATATATAAATATATGTTTTTAAGATTAATCTGACATTTAGTTTTCAATAGTTGCATAACGCGACTTTGCTCACGTATAATTTAGCGGAGGTATCGAATGTATCTGATGAGTGAACAATTTTGTGAGGGTTTTGAGGAAAATAAGGATATAATAAACGGCTTCGGTGGTCTAGTGGTTCAGCACACCGCTTTACTTCAGATAGTCGCGGGTTTGATTCCTCGCACGGCATAAACATTTGTATTCATAAGTGTGTTTGTGTGTATCGGTCTGGATCTTTTTTATATTATGTATTTACAAAAAAAATGTATCTAAGCATTTTATCGGTGGTCTAGTACCCATAACACAAACTCTGCTTATCTTGCGACTAGATGGCGTTGTCTGTATTGTCCAATGATACTATTATTACTCTTAATTAAAAGATGGAATTGATATGTCAATAATATTATAGAATCCAATAAAAAGGAATGTGTCCACAAATATAATTTTAAAATAATACAAAAATGTATCAATAAGTTAGCTAAATCATGCTATATGCATATATGAATGGTGTACCAAATTTCATTGAAATTCGTTCTAGTAGCAAATATCTTTACAAATTTTCACACTTACTTAGACGTGGAATAATAATTAGTTACGTGGTCTTTGGTTAGCCATTTTGACAGCAAATGAATAAATAATAATATTAACCTTCGACTATATACTTCTAAAACAGTACTACAGACTTCGCATTAGTGTGACACCCGTCACTCAAGCGTTGGCATTGTAAAGGACTAAGTAATCATGCTTCTAGTATTTTAATTTCACTGCCCAATCTCCCCTACAAAAGAAGCAGTTTACAGACCAGATTGCTCGGCGCGGTTAAGTAGGTGAGACTATATTAGTCTATACTATACTATACTATGCGACTTTTTTCATAGACATTGTTAGTTTGTTTGCCAATCCATAATGCATAATGAATTCAGTCAGTAATAGGAAATATTGGGCTCATTGCTTGGCTCCTGGAATTCGCCTGAATTCACCTGAAATTCGCCACTATTACCTTTATAACATGACTTCATGCTCATTTTATCCTAGTATCCCGTCAGCGTATATGGTTCGTGTAGGCGGTGGCACAATTCCATTTAACCGAGAAGAATTATATATAAGTACTTAATTGAAACACACTTTCTTAACAACATTTATTTATAACCCCAATAATTAATTACACATATATATATAGTCGTAATCTAGATAGCGATACAATATCACAAAGATTTAAACAATATATAAATTGACATAACAGGTACAGGTAAGTATTTCATGTTGATGAGTAACTTGACACGATTTTAAATAACCGTAGAATTTACCATAGATTGTTACCCATCAAAATTTAGCATGACCTTACGTAAACTAATTATCACATTATAGGAAAAATTAAATTACACACTTTCTTGTAATTTTATTGTACTTTGCTACCTTACTATACTTATAATATACAAATAATAATTATTACAATATTTTTGAAGACAAAACAATTTTAAACTTTTGTGTTTTATTAGCATCTTTGCTTAGGAACGAGTGATTGCTATTCCATTCTAATAGGCGCTACGAAATATTATTTTTTTGTGTATTGTGTTATAATCAGGTACTTATATTTTTTTATATTATTACAGGTGCTTGAAGTTTCGACATTGGACAAAAAATCATATGATCATAAAAAATAAGCTGTTTTTTTTACTGTATCTGATAAATTAATTGACTATATGAATTGTTAAAAACGGTTAATCATTTGTGTTATTGGGTTACAATATACATGTATATATACGAATATACATAGACATTATATTTAAATATGTCTGTCCGTGTGTCTCCGTCGTAGTACAACAACTGAGTAGTTTTGAGCTAGATGGCGCTGTGTGATATGTTTAGAATTGTATACAGTTCTAAACATATATACATGTATATAATATGTTTATACATATAATAGAATTAGGCAGCATAATTCTAATGTTACTTAATACCAGCGGCATTCTCTTATAGGACCTATAAAACGGAAGCAATTTGTATGATTTGTGTCTTTTAATTATGGTCTCTTTTCATGGCCATTTATTTTTGTATTGTTGTTGAATAAACTAAGTAGTCCATTCTATTAATCTTGCAATAAAATGTCTTCTTTCTTTCAAAAACACACAAGTAATTGACCTAATCGACATCTTGAAGTTTCAACAGATCTCTGATATCTTATGTACTCCAGATTTTATATGACCTCTCGAGAATTTGTGTAGTTCTCTGTAAAACAAGATATATTATTAGTGACAAAAGAAATTTTATAAACTGCCGTCAGGTCTGATGGTAAGTGGCAACTGTACCAACTACTTACCCAACACTTACCAAAAACATCATGACGCCAGACCCCGAATGGCAATGCAGAAAGGCATTAGCAATCTCGGAGCACTACGATGGTCGTATAAGCCTCCCAATTATTTTTATTTTCTGTTTTTGAAATGGCAAACAACCTGACGGCTCACCTAATGGTAAATGGTAACCGTAGTCTATATACATGAACAGCACTACAAAAATCACATTATACTGTGACGCCCGTGATATCACTCTTGTGGATTAAGATAATAATTCACACAGCTCCATCTAGTCCCAAGATAAGCATAGCTTGTTTTATGGGCACTAGAAAACTTATAAGAATGTTTAAATATATTTTGTTATTGTATACACATCAATTTTATACAAATACCAATAGGTACAAACAGTCATACTCAAGGATTTAAAATCCTTGAACCTGGTTGAAGGTCGCTATATGGAGCTGTGAAGACACCAGGAGACTTCTGCTCTTTTGGGTGGAGCTTGGTTGGCTACTCCAGTAGTCTTGGCTCTATACCCACAACGGCCGAGATGAGAAGCTGATTGCGGAAAATGGAGTCCAGCTTACATTTACATTTACCGAGTAAGGAATCGAAGCCGTGATGATTGGAAGTAAAGCGGTGTGTTAAACTGGTAACCATTGAGGCCGTCGAAGACAAATGATGTCATGCTCCTTATCCTGAAATTATAGGAGACTTACTTTACAGTTCTTTTACGTAGACTCTAGCTTCAAGGTGGGGGGCTTGAGGTTTTGGTGCATACGACAAATCTGAATACAGCACTTCGTACACGCTCTTGTAGTTCAGCCTCTCAGCCGCTGCAGCGGAGTATGCTGATGTAGTGTCCATTCGCAAAGCACCAGCGCCTACTTCTTTGGCTATCCGCCTAAAAATTTCAAAACATTATATTTTATTATCGTACTATAACTCACATTGACGGGCTCGGTGGTCTAACGGTTTAGCACACTGCCTTACGTCGGATGGTCGCGAATTCGATTGTTCAGACGATGTCAACATATTATGTATTCATAAATGTGATTGTTTGCATCTTTCTATGTATATTATGTATATAAAAACCCATTTTAAAGTACTTCTATTAGTTGTTCCCAGTTTTAATTATAGTTCTATTAATACTAAGCAGAGAGAACCAAGTAAGAAATATTTCCGTCCTTACGTTAGTACAAATATTCCTTTATCCAGTTTATTAATTTATCTGATACATATATACTATATATACCTTAATACAAATTTACCTTAATATATATATACTTTTAATGGCTTACATGTGCATTAAACTCATGTAAAGAAGATGCTACATGCAACACTGTTTTTGTCTATCACCACAGTTTATACTCAAGCATTGGCTAACAACCTGATGAGTCACCTGATGGTAAGTGATAACCGTCGTCTATATACATATATACATGAACAGTATTGTGTTTAAAAAAATCTTTGACTCTCATTATGACACTCATGTTTTGCCATTCCAGAGGATCAAGATGTCATAATTTCATATACTGTAATTTCTCTACAGACCTACAAATATGGCGTCTTTCGAGAGAGGTTTTGAAGTGTTTAGGTTTCTTAAGGGTCAACACTCACGTGTAGTCAACACGCATCATGACCTGCATCGCGCGGGTGTAAAGTACGTTGGTGGACGTTGCCAAACCTTATCAGCTACGATAACCGTTTACCAACCGATGGATCGCATGCCTAATTGCCACGACAGTGTCATAAAAAAACTTACTACCAGAACTAAACACAAAATTGATGCAGTCTATTTATATGTATAATCAGTTTAAATGACTAACCAACCGAAATTAGTCTCAAAATAGTACCACAGATAAATTATCACGTTACATCAAGATTGTTAGCGTTGTTGTTCAAATTAGGACTAATTGAAATGGGCCTTGGAACGTCACTTTTACACAAAGCAGCCATATAATACGGAAACTGTAACTTCACGCAATGCTGGATGAAATAATGTGACCGAACAAAACATTTCTTCCGCGTTTGCCACCTGATTATTGTATACAAAACTAATCTCGAACACAGTAGAAAGCGATTGTTTTGTAATTAAACCCATTGACTGCTAATATTGATCGTATTATATATGGCTAATATTACACTTCCTGAAATAGAGCTATTTTTTTAGATTGAATTCTAAACTGTAAACTGATGAAAAAGTTAGTCATTAACCGCACCATGGACACAGAGATGGTAATAGTAACTGTCATGTATTGATAGCGCTATTTAGTCCCAAGCAGAATTTGATATTGTTTGTTTAAGCAGAGTTGTCTAAGAATATAATAACATCCTTAGACAACTCTGCTGCAAATATTAATAATAAAATGAAATTAATAATAATAGTTCGGTATTATTAATAATGTGGTCTATCCCATTGCTAGTAATGAACCACGTGGAAGCCTTCGTGATAAATTCATAGTGAATTTACCACTATGGGCTAGCTGACTTCAAGCTCATCTTATCATCCTTCACTGGTATAATAATAATAATAGTTTTGACAGAGTTGTCTAACCACATTAATATGTCTATGGGACACAGTCACCTAGATACATAAAATAATAAATGCATTTAATAATGTCTAGTAAGACAAATTCAATATTGTCTACTAGGCACTGCTGTATCTAAACTGTGTCACCCCACCTTACATTTTCCTATTGTTATTTAGTATATAAGATCATTATTTCTATGTACACATTGTCAGTTTATCATCATCAGTAATATACATCGTCTCGACCAGCAACATCTTATTATTCACCCGCAACAGTGGTGACCCCGACGTGATAAAAGCAATCGACGATTACCCTAAACCCACGACAGTCAAAGATTTACGTCGTTATTTGGGTATGGTGAATTTTTATAGGCACCTAATTCCACACGCTGCCAAGCATCAAGCTCCGCTCAATGTATTTTTAAGAAATAGCAAGAAAAACGATAAAACAATTATCGTATGGAATACGGAAGCAGAACAAGCATTTCTACAATGTAAACAAGACATGCGTGACGTCACAACTATGACGTTTCCAGAGTCGAACGCAAGGATCGCATTGATGACTGACGCTAGCTTAAAATGTGTTGGCGCAGTTCTTCACCAAAAAATTAAAAACGAATGGAAGCCAATTTCATTTTTCTCCAAATCGTTAACAGAAGCTCAAACGAGATACTCCACCTACGATAGGGAGTTATTGGGAATATATATGGCAATAAAACACTTCAGACGATTAATTGAAGGTCGTGTTTTCACAATATACACCGATCATAAACCACTAACTCATGCTTTTGAGAAGAAACCTTCGGTGGACGAGTCACCCAGAAGGATCAGATACTTGGATTTCATATCACAATTCAGTACAGATATACAGCATGTAAGCGGACACGATAACACGGTTGCCGATGCATTATCACGAGTCATCGAAACAATATCACTTCCAACCGTTATCGACTTATCCGACTTAGAAAAAAGTCAACAGAATGACATTGAGTTACAACAACTCAAAAAGAATAAATCATTACGTATGTCATTAATTCAAGTACCAAATACAAATAAAAAAATATATTGTGACATTTCCACTGAAATAGTACGTCCTTACTTGCCGCCAGATTTCAGAAAAACTATTTTCGAAAGTTACCATAATCTTAGTCATCCTGGTAAAAAAACTACAAGAAAATTAATTGGCAATAATTATATATGGACAAACATGAATACAGATATAAATAAATGGTGTGAATCATGTTTACAATGTCAGAAATCGAAAGTGCACAGACATACAAATTCACCGCTTGGTAAATATTTGCCTGCTACGCGTTTTTCACATGTAAACATTGACATCGTAGGACCATTACCTACTTCGCAAAATAAACGATATATTATCACTATAATCGACAGATGCACTTCATGGCCTGAAGCTTTTCCAGTTGCAGATATAACTGCAGAAACTGTTGCAAGAGTTGTCTACGAGGGATGGATTTGCCGCTTTGGATGTCCAGACTACATCACCTCTGACCAAGGACGACAATTCGAGTCCGACGTTTTCAGAGGACTCGCCAAGTTGATGGGAATTGAGAAAATCCGTACTACACCGTACCATCCACAATCTAATGCAAAAGTGGAAAGATTACACAGAACAATGAAAACAGCATTAGTAGCCAGAGCCAACACAAGAAATTGGACAAAAGAATTGCCATCAGTTCTATTCGGACTACGCTCAAGTTATCGACAAGATACTGGTTGCTGCGCCGCCGAACTGGTATATGGCACTACTATCAAGTTACCGGCAAATTTTTTCTATGATGAGCCGAAAATCACGTATGCTGACTTCATAAAAGATATTAAAAATAATATTAGCCGAGTTGCAGCCATCCCACAGAGAGAGAGTACAAATAAAAACATTTTTGTACATCCTCGTTTAATGGATTGCTCACACGTCTTCCTGAGATGTGACAGATTACGTCCAACGTTGACACCACCATACGAAGGACCATTTTTGGTTGTCAAACGCAAAGGAAAAGTATTCACAATCAAGCGTGACGAAAAAGAAACAAATGTGTCAATAGATAGACTCAAGCCAGCATTCATAATAAACAACGAAGCAATTGCTGGCGAGGCAGAAACAGGACACCGCTCGTCAACAGCTGACAGCCGACCTTTGAAAGTGACACGTTATGGACGCACATCTTATCCTACAGTGAGATTTAATTTGTAAAAAAAAAAAAAAATTATTAATTTATATTGTTCATAATTAACTTTTATAATTTTTTTGTGTGTAATATATATATATTTTTTTCTCTCAAGGGGGGAATATCTATGGGACACAGTCACCTAGATACATAAAATAATAAATGCATTTAATAATGTCTAGTAAGACAAATTCAATATTGTCTACTAGGCACTGCTGTATCTAAACTGTGTCACCCCACCTTACATTTTCCTATTGTTATTTAGTATATAAGATCATTATTTCTATGTACACATTGTCAGTTTATCATCATCAGTAATATACATCGTCTCGACCAGCAACATCTTATTATTCACCCGCAACAATGTCCTTAGACAACACCGGTTATCTATTATCATTAATTTACGAGCAGGTATAATTCAATTTAAATTTTATACCCAACACTGCAATTGGTGTATAAATATGTCAACGCACAATAAGATTCTATACAATAAACGGAAAGCCGTAATTTCTTTATAAAGCATAATAGCAAATTATGCAAGTACAGTAGATGACAATAATCTTAATAAAGATGCATTCGTTATGCAACTGCATTTGTTTGTTACGGCACACCGCGCAATAGAAGCTCGAAGGACGTCACATGTATTATGTAATACATAGGGTTCCCATCAGTACTATAATATAATATATATGACGGCCTCGGTGGTCTAGCGGTTTAGCACACCGCCTTACTACCGATGATCGCGGGTTCGATTCCTCGCACGGTACAAACATTTGTATTTATGAGTATGATTGTTTGTATCGGTCTGGGTGTTTTCTATGTATGATATGTGTATATTTACAAAAAAAACTATGGATTTGTATCAGTTGTCTTGTACCCATAACACAAGCACCATCTCAGGATAATTCACATAGCGCCATCTAGAACCAAGTTAAACTATATTCTAGCCAATTGCACCACTCTTACTAATAAATACGATATACGAAAGTAACTCAGTCTGTCTGTCTCCCTGTCGCGCTGTCACGCCAAAACTACTGACCGATTTATTTAGAATTTGGTACATAGATAGGTTACCGTGAGAAAGGACATAGGCTACTTTAGAATGCGAAAAAAGGGGTAGAGAAGGGAGATTGAGAGGAGAGTGTAAGATTCTATGAAAGTATGGTCTTTTCTATAGGTAGAAGCTTGAAACTTATTTTTAGGATATAATAAATATGACATTCAAAGTTTATGGAAATTAGTCATTCTTCATTTATTCTTTTTTAATGTTGTGATCTTGTGGTTGTACAAATAAAGTATTATTATTTATTATTATTCCATGCGTATAAATCGCGGGCACAGCTAGTATGATATTTAAAAATATAATAGTACGATATAAAAAGGTAAATGAAGTATATTATCATAGATAATACAACTGACACGCTTTTTTATATTAACTGTAAGCTGCAACACATCCGCAGCGCCGCTAAATAAACTTCAAAACGACATTAATTTTCAAATAAACAAGTAACTTTTGACTGTAGTAATAGGAAAAATAAATACGCAATTGGAATAAAATAAATAATGAAAAATGAATTATGTACTATTTTTCTCAAAACTCCCAAAAGTTTTTTATGATTTAAAAACCATAGCCACTATTTTCACTTTATTGAAAGTTATAGCAAAAAAAAAACAAGTAAATTGAAATTAATAAAGAAATGTACACTATATTTTCCAAACTTTTTCAATGTAATACATTTTTATAATATAAAAAAACATATATACTATTTTCACTTTAAACAAAGTTGCCAACCCTTGTTACACGTGATGTGGGACATGCAATTTATATTAATTACGACCCTTTACTGTCCACTGCGTTCGTCTATATATTACTATGTATATTATATTTATACTATTTGTATATTAGATATAAATTGAAGTCAATAAATTTAGTTGTAATTGGAATTGCTAATAAGCTGAATGCCCACCGGTTGAAAAGTGGCAACTTACATCTATATGTATAACAATCTGTACCCGGGACTTAGCCATTTCAGAGATTAGCCGGAACAAACACAGAACAATTGTAAATATGTTTGGTGTATGTACCGTATTTATATTCATATGCATGTAGTAAAAAACGGTTATTTCAATATTACAAACAGATTAAATTTTATTTAAATGTATAGATAATAATAACCTTAGGCATTCCACACAGCGATATCTAGTCTCAAACTAAGCAGAATTTGTGTTAGGGGTACTAAAGGACAAATATAAAACTTAAATACATTTTTATAAATACATCAATATGTATTTACAAAAAGTATTCCAAGTAGTCTATCAAGGAGTTCGCTAACCGTAGCGATCTTCTTGCTAGACTTTGAATACTAAAGTATTGACTTTATGCCATAGTTACAGACATATAACGAATCGATTAGCTCGGCCTGAACAGATGTTTTAAACACAAGAGGTACTCTGACGACACCACTTGTGTTTAAAACAACAATATTATATAAAATATACAAACAATATAGATACAAAATTGTATCCGTCAGGCAGGAGTGTCGCACCATAAGTTCTTCTGCGGGTTTGGAGTGCAATCTGCACTCGCTCCCTATTACTCGGTAAAGCTGTTAAGACAAACTGCCGCGAATAGCTTAGAGTTGTTAAAAAAAAATCACCGTACAATATTTGAATGGTTATAGAAAAAAGATTTATTATGTGAAATGGTTTACAAATCAAATGAGAGTGTTTAGTAACGCTCTGTAATATTCTTTATCTGTGGTAATACTTTCTTCAAGATCATAAATTTCGCTACATGTTGCTATACTACTACATTTGAAGCTCTTTTTTAAGATTTAATACACATTTCCAAAAAAAACTATGGAAATCTGATACTTGATGATTTCGATTTCTGAACTAAATAGTGTTAATTAAATATTTTTATTTACAAACATGTTTTCAAGAGCCACGGCTAAGGTTGGACGTTGATCTCTAGGTCAGGAAGGCATTGCCTTGATCTTACATTGTGTTGTATAAAGTTGTAAAACTAGTATGGTTTTAATTAATTACTTCTACGTTGCATGATAATTATAAAAAAAAAAGTTATCTACATTTTTTTTGGCGATTTAATTGGTTCTAGTCATAGGAATATGACGTTTGTTTGTACCGTATTTTACTCCTAAGGCTCTATGTGTATGCTGATGGGATCTTAGATATTCTAAATTTTTTGAATGGTGAACGAGTTGGTCGTATACCATATACGTAACCGTTGCCTATACTGAACAACATATCATGTGATGCCTGTACAACAATAACCATGAGTTGTCATTCCAGAGGACTATGATGTAATTGACGGCCTCGGTGATTTAGCGGTTCAGCACACTGCCTTCCAATGCTCGCGAGTTCCATTCCCCCTCCGATCGATCCCCCGTCCAATTCAAACGGGGATCGAAATTACGACGGCCTGAGCCGAGGTTCGAACCCCCTAGTGGTGCCCTCAGACTAAAGTCGTATCAGGAGGCAGGAGTTAGCCTTCAGTCGCTTCATAAGTCCTTCCGCGGATTTGGAGTGCCATCTGCACTCGCCCCCTAACGTCCGGTGAAGCTGTAAAGACCAGCTGGTCTTTACAGCTTGACCGCAACTGCGGCCAACAGCACTAGAGTAGTACGAAAAAAAAGGGTTCCATTCCTCGTACAATATAAATATTTGTATACATGGTTATGATTGTTTGTATTGGTTTTCTATGTATATTATTTATGATTTATAAAAAAAACTATCTTAGTATATTTATCAGTTATCTCAATACTCATAATATAAGCTTTGGTTAACTTGGGACTTGATGGCGCTATTAGTATTATTACGACCTGCTCCGTGCCAGGATCGACCTCGTCCTTGTCCATATCTTTGTTATACTGTTCTTTTTGATTTTTCTTACACTAAAATGACTTATGACCTCTTTTTCCACATGTATAGCAGTAGAAGATTTGTTCTGAAAGTATATCTGCCTGTTCTTTAGTTTTGTACTTAATTTCTGCATCTAGTAATCTTGCTTTGACGAAATCTATGTTTATTTTATTTTCTAATGACATTATATTTCTATTGAAGTAATAATTGCATATTAGGTACAGTAACATAAAAAACATAAAAAAGTACATACTCAGATTCTTCGCAGAGTACCCTCATCAGGCCTCTACCGCGCCACGCCGAGTGTGTAGATGCAATTCTGATTTCAAGGACCTTGTCACACGACTTTGGAAGTTTCTCGAAGATCTTAGCCTCTCGATTCAGATGGTCTAGCACCTTAAGAATACGTCTGAACTTCTGGTTAGAACATTCTTCAGATTTATCTGTGTAGTCTACTTCCTGAAAAAAAAATTGAATTCTTAAATTATTAAAGTAATTTATATTAATTAAGTAATAAATTATTATTTCACAGAAAACAATACAGTACTAAAAACTTTATGAAAACGTCTGTGAAAAAACTCATTATGATTTTATTATGCATAATATACAAATACATGATTTTTTTATTTCAGTAAGTAATGCGGTAGTTATGCTGATTTTTTTTCTGTAATAATTTTATAGTTTTATTGTTTAATTGGAAGTTCCTAGGCATAACACAATATACAAATCCATCAAGATTGTCAAATATTTGTAGAACACTAATAATATATTGTATACAAAGAGTTTTAGAAATTGTCTCTAGTACAATTATATTAATTAATTCATTATATTAATTAACTAGCCGTTCCCGCGACTACGTCCGCGTGGAATTAAACTTTATTTTTCTAAAATAAAAGTAGCCTAAGTTACTCCTTATTACATCAGCTACCTGCCAAAGAAAGTCTCATCAAAATCGGTCCAGCCATTTCAGAGATTAGCCGGAACAAACAGATAGACAGACAGACCGATATAAATTTGTAGTAGAAAACGGTTATTTCAATATTAGAAACAGACACTCCAATTTTATTTATATGTAGGTATAGATTATACGAAATGTAGATGAGAAATTTTCCTTATTTCTGTCTAACTGCTATACTAAGAAGCGGATCGATTGGAAGAAGCATTGGAGCACATCGACTAGTTAAGCGTGACCCTTTCCTTTTTGTCCTTGAGATATGTGATTAACTGATGTACCTACAAATATTGTTAATTACCTATGTAACGTAGTGGTACTTAGGTACATTTTTTATAAGTTTACGCATTTCAAAACATTAACATTAGGCAGTGTGTACAATAAGTATGTACGAGTATTTTATATTTGAAAACTTTGATGCCTTATGCAATTAATGTAATGTAAATTGGACTCTATTTTCCGCAGTCATCCTCTCATTTGGGCCGTTAGTACGTGTAGAACCGAGACTACTAAAGTAGCCAGCCAAGCTTCTCCCACAAGACACAGTCTCCTGATGTCTTAACCGGCTTCACAGAGCGAACTCATCATCCCGAGGATTTGTGTTTGTTGTGTGGCCACTACTACACAATCAGGATGCCGTGAGTTGTTGTTTCTTTGGCTTCAAAGCAGTCCCGATAAAGGGGACTCTCTGTAGCACCTATTGTGTACAAATGTTGGATTAAGGGACAGTAGTCCGTTATTGTCCCTATCATTATTTTAGGGTTTGGTCTATTTTATATTCGACTAGCTACTCGCCCCGGCTTCTCTTTCGGCTTATATCCGTTATCTAATACCCATAACACGAGCTCTGCTTAGTTTGGAAGTAGATGGCGTAGTGTGAATTATCAAAGGTTATTTTAGGTATTGTTATTATGATTAAATAAAAAAACATGTATTTCGTACTGTAGTCAATAATTTGACGTGATCACGTCTTTATTTTAGCCTCAATTGATTATTTCCATCTAGAAGGTATTGCGATGTTGAACTTATTGCCTTCTCAAATTAAAGTAAGTAGGTCTGCAGCAGTTTTTACTTCTAAGCTCATACTCCTTCATGTGATACGTTAAATAAATTAATGTACAAGTGTACTAAAGGTACCTACCTGCCTATCAACATGAGTTCATGCTATTAATAGACATTCACAAATGAACTATTATTAGAGTCCGCGTGGAAGTTCATGCAAAAAACTATATACGTACCGTATCGAACGCAATTCTGATTGTCCTTCATTTTGTTATTAGTAGTTGGGTACCTATAGTTTTTTGTAAGCGATGGCCGAATTGAAACCTAACTGTATAGTCTGACAGGGCATCAGTGGAAAATAACAGGATGAAGCTCAAGTCAATTTGACATCGTGGAATAATAAGTAAATTGATATATTGTTTGACAGTCTCGGTGGTTTAGCGATTTAGTACAACGCCTTGCTTCTGATGGTCGAGGGTTTTATTCCTCGCACGGTAGAAACATTTGTATTCACGAGTATAGTCGTTTTTGTTGGTTTGGGATCTATGCGAATAAGCTCTTTTCTTGTCGAGTTCACTATCGTATCGGTTCAGAAATACAACTGCTAGAGGGAAACTACAATGTGGTTGTGCGTGGCAAAAAGTTTCTAGAACACCACACTGTGGAGGACTATCATTCATCCAGATGATCAAGATGGTTTTAGGTTGCTCAATTTTGACATTTTCCGAAAAATAATATGTTCGAATAAGAAAAACTACATTGTAATTACAATTAAAATTATTATTTATAATTTCGTGCTTGCATTTTCATGGTCATAAATATTTTTATGATGTTGAGTAATAAACGTGAGTTTTACAAGATAATCCGGTACCATATCGTTGTCATCTATGTACACGACTTTATTATGTTTCGTGACTTTATTGTATTGTAGAAATACCTTCATAGACCTACTTGTATATGTAAAGCAAGTGGTAATAATTCATAATAAGAAATAGTATTTTATTGATTTTCGTTCATATGAATCTTATTGTAGTGAATAAAACAAATGTCTCAGGATAATTCACACAGCGTCATTTAGTCCCAAGCTAAGTAGAGCTTGTGTTATGGGTAGGTATTAGACAATTGTAAATATATAGATATTTTTTTGGAAATACATATATAATATATATAGAAACCGACCAGACTGATAGATCCAATTATACTCATGAAAATGTTTGTACCATTCGACCATAGCAATTTTAGCTTGTAACTCATAATTCTTATAAATCTGCCGATTTATATCTTATTATTTAGAATTGTTTGTATTTATGTTGTATAAAAAAACAGTTGCTACTTTATTATCTAATGTAGATGACTTCTAATTTGAAACCGATTAAAATCATCCATCCGCAATTGTGTATGAATCATTCGAATATTACAGATTTACCAGACGAGTTGTACCTTTGAATGCTTCGCAACTCTAACTACCCGACGATAACATAATAACAAAACCGAATTATTGCCAATTACGTTACGTAATCAAGTTTTTGATAAACGGTGTATGAATATTCATTCATTCATAATTTAAGAGCGATGCTCGTTTCGGTGGAGCTGTTGCCACTTTCCACGACCTTCCATCATACTCTTTAAACGTTAATTTCACGACTCCAATTTTGTCTTTAATTTGCATGATATAGCTGTGCCTTGGTCTTCCCCTCCCTATCTATTCTTCTACTTTTTCCTCAATATTATTATTGGAAAAAATTATAAAATTATTATTAATTTTAATAAATTCATCGCGCCGCGCGGTGTCAAGTGCCCTAAAATTTTTCCTCGCCTATTTTCAATAGTATTCAATATCTGCCTACTATCTTTCATCTTGTGTAATACTTCCTTTCTTAGAACGAAGAAAAATAATTTAGACTTTTGAATAAACATTATATTATCAGTGATATTGTGCCATCATACAATGTGCGGTTAACGTTAAATAATGCAACTACTTGAGTTGCTACTGTATATAACAATGTGAATTATTTACAGTATGAGCGGTTGCAAGATTAAGTCACCACCTGCGCGGAAGTTGCCTATTATATATGTATAATATCTATATACATATAAGGGCGACAAATAAAGCTATCGACCTGACAATAATATAGGAATTGTGATGTGACTTTATTAATAATGAGCCGGATATATGCAACTTTATCTACGTAGAATTAGTACATACTTTTAAATCTTTTATGCTTTCACAAATCGCTATACTAAATTAATAATTAAGAATTAACTGATGTAACACTTACGCAAGAAACATTTACTAATTTAAAATTTAAAAAAAAATCTGCTTCTACAGTTTTATTTTCGCGACCAACAAAAGTATGCAATAGTAACCACTATTACTAAGTATATATATTTAGGTATCTATTTTAGTAGTCTATGTCCAATACAAAAATCAATAAAATTCTTTCAGTGATACGCTCTAATCTCACAAATGACTCAACCGATTTGTGTGCGGTTTTCACTAATGTACAGTGGAAAGCCTCACTTGTAGTTTAGTGTTTTCTTTATTCCAAACTGTTTACAAATACAAAACTTACAATTTATGTGCGAGTACTGTATGTATAAAATATATATAATCTCACCTCTCTCCTGACAAGACCGTTGATGATAATACCAATGAATTCACCTTTCTCATCGACCGCTGCAACTGACAATTCTTGTACGATGGAACTACTTGAATACTCTTCTAACTCTATACATCTTGATTCTGGTGTTTCTAGCAAATTCACTGCTCGATTCATAGGCTCGTCGAGGAAGAAGAAACTGGTGACAAAAATTTGTATTCTTAATTTAAACAACTCATGTTATTTATTAAGGATCTATACTAAACGTTATACTACGAAAATATTGAACAATAACTAAATAAACTCAATTTTTGTGCATAAGACAACATTTCATTGGATGGGATAAGACGACTGATATCAACGTTTTATAATATTGATATTTTATTTCTTTGTATTTTTTTATTAAAAAGATAGTTTATATCCTATAATATTAGTACGGATAAACTAATAAATATATTTTTACCGTCAACCAGGTGTTTTCGAAATTGTATATCGATTGTGGGTTAAGATATGATAGTGAAATAACGTTGTATGTCATCAAGAATGGTAACCTCCTGTGTTTTGTGTTGTCCTTGATTCTGAGTTTGTATATAGGCGACAGTTACCACTTACCATCAGATGGATAATCAGCTTTTTGCCATTCCAATTACATAAAAAAAAGAACTGTGTTCATATGTATTTATAGGAAGTAAGTAGTTTATAGCACGTAATACAGATGTTATAAAGCGATCTATCAGTGCCTATTTTACTTACATATACACATTATTTGACGTTTTAATTATCTCAAATTCTGTAATTAATTATATTGAGATTTGTACACATTTGAAATAATAATTATTCGATATTACCGAGTTCAATCTGATTAGTATTTGCATGCAATTTAATGCAATTAAAATAAACGATGCTAAATTTTAATTAAGTGTTAGATTGAAAAGATAATCTTACAAATATCTGACAGTAGACACTCAGTTATTGATTTTCATATTAATTAATTTAATAATAGGATAAACTAATATAAATAAATAAATATGAAAACATATTTCATTATATTTATAACAATTATGAATATTGCATAGATCCTAGATGGATGTACACAGATCTATTTTATTATAGTATTCATATTCATTACTGTAAATTGCAAATAAAGAATATACTATATTTGCAATATATAGTTAATAAAGAACTCTTATATTATCTAAGTTTATGAATATGGCTTGAGACATGGAGGAATGTTTTTTACTTTTTCATGCAAAAAGTACTTACCAGACAGACTTGAATGAAATTTGAAAACACTAGTAATATTATAATCAATAATTGAATGACAGTATAATAAATATATATACCGATACGACTCTTAAACCAAATAGGGTAGTCAGACACGTACACTTGATGCTAACATTCCGCAGAGTTTAATTTAATTGTATGTGACAGGGGATGAACGCATCTAATGATTTGGGTATTTATGACATGTTAATGATGTCTATGGACCTTACAGAACATACAAAGTATACTTATTACCTATAGAACCCTTTATAAATATAAGTTCGAATAGAAATAGAGGATACCTCATATTTCTAACTCATTATATGGAGGTTAGTTACTAGATGGAGAATGCATAAAAGCTATGCATTTTCCCATCTAGTAACTAACCTATTATGGGTGGGTAATAATAAAAGATATGAACTTACTTTCTGAGGAACTGGACAGCTGCATCGGTGTCTTCTAGAGTAATTCTGCGGATAGTGAAGGTGGGCTGAGTCATTTTCCGAGAACGTAGACCCAGCTCCGCCAGCTGGGCCGGTAGCTCGTCACCGAGCTGAAAAAATAACTAATTTTTAACCAAAATATTAATCAGCCCAAAGAAGGATATTTAAGCGAGTTAATAAAATTGCTGAGTTCGAATTCTGAAAATAATACCGGAATGAAAGTTTCATATAAAACGAAAATTATCTACATATCTTAAAATTATCTACTATTAAAATATTACTTAATTATCTACGTATATTATTTAATTAAATGTTTTTATATATATTGACTCCATGGTTTGAAATATATTGGACGGTTTTATAAATATTAGCACTGGGTTCGAGCGTCGCATAATCCATCGGTATAATATTCTTTTCTCAACATTCTGAATTAATGGGATATATTAGCAAACATAAAACAAAACATTGGCGGAAATATCAACAAATTTCGTAAAATTAATATAGAATATTAAGAAAGATTTATATGAGTACAATATGGATTGTAATTAAAAATATAGATTTAAAACTGATGTTTCCTCGATCGCATTAACTCACACTTGTAACACTTATTCGTATGTACTCTAACTTCTACACTTTCGTCTGAAATACTTTGTAAGTCGTTATATCCCAATGGACGGAGCGAATATGTCTTTTATGTTTCTTTTCACTTGTGCAAATGTAATATAGAACAGCGTCTACTTCACAGTCGGATGTCACTGCGCAATTAAAGTAAAATTGAATTTTTTGTCACGTCACGCCTGTAACATGATGCTGAAGGGCTATTTGATACTTGTGGACTAGAATGTGTGTTAATTGTTTTATTTGTCACTACAGCGATATTGAATATCAAATTCTATGTTATGTGGTTATTGAGGTCAATTTTCTGTTTAATATTTTGTGCGTTGTCAGCGGTTTCGGATCCGATTTAAAAAAGGAGGAGGTATCAATTGCGGAGTTTGGTTAACAAACAAAACTAATGAGTTGTTAAAGATCTTTTGAAAAGTAGAAATCCTTGAGACAAAAGAAATACTTAATATTCTAACAAGATAGACTAGATTTTTCTTCTTTTGTAAATTCGTCTACGTGAACTGAGGACAGTTCCACGAGTTCAGCCGTCAAACAGCTTGATTTGTAATGTATGTTTTAGTTGAATGGTTATATGAGGAATAGAGGAATACCATTCAACCAAAACACACGTTACAAAATTGGCGAATTTATGGGATAAGGGCATCTTAGTCCTCCACTTGACATCGCATATCACTTTCATCATATTTACATTTATCTAAAAGAACAATACGCAAAATTCTTCCTTATTCTTCTTGTGATGAGTCTGCGTTGCAAATGAGTGGTAGAATAAAAAAATTTGACTATTCAGAAGTGCTTATATTAAGTTTATTTGAATAAATATTATTTCTATTTCTATATATTAACGGGTTGTCTGTAGTGCTGTTCATGTATTATGGGGGACAGTTCCCATTTTCCATCAGGTGGGACATCAGTTTGTATATCTATAATTTCAATTACAAAAAACATATTATTATTCTACGGAATCGCAGAAATGAGAAGTAATAATTCAAAGTAGTATTTTAAATGCGTGTTAAGTAGGTATTACTATAGGCACATTAGTCTTGTACAGCTATTGTAGGTTTGTCTGTAGTCATTTTGCATGCCATTTAGATCCAGTTCTGTTCTGTTACCTTGAAGTTAACTAGTGGAAATTGTCTCAAAGCTTTGTCTAATCCTTTCAATGCATTAAACTCGATATGTAAAACCATATCTTTCAAAAATCCACCGCTTAACAGCGCTACACACAATTTATGACGTAATTTGGCATAAACCATAGGTATTGTTTGCAGTTTGAATCTGACTTACACAAACAACTAAAATTAAACTAATAGGTGCCTAGTATTTTTATTTTCTTTCGAAATAACACGACTTTCAGAGTATTTTTGTAATATATTTAATCCCCGAAATTTTGTGAGAATTAATGCTATTAATATTGAAAAAAAAAGGAAATATTTAATTTTCTTGTTTGACCAGATATTAACCACGGTGTCGTGTGGTGGTGGACCTGACATACCATGTCAGGTCTAACTCCGCCTCATCGCTAGCAAATGGGGTCACCAGTACCCAATACTAACAACCCCCTACTCTGTCTTTTATTCTATTAAAATTTAAGACTATATGTTAATTTAGAAAACAATGCTATAATAATAGCATCCTGGCAAAACTGCTTCTAGTAGCTAGTATAATGTGTATATGAAAAAAAACTATACCTATTTTCAGTTATAATGTTGAAATCAAATCAATATTGCAAATATCTGTAGTATTGTTATTATTGGCTAATTTTAATAATATTGAACGTACAGTCACGATTATAGTGTTTTATTGTATTTAATAGCCATAAATACTGATACTTGAACATAACTACGTCATTTAAATACCATTCAATAAGTAATTGTTTGTTTATTTAATTATTTATTAGCCAGGAATATAAGATTCTATTAGATAGATAATAAGATTTTATTATTGCATTAGCTGATTCTGTGTTCTTTTTTATTGTTATACCGAGTAGACTAAAATAAACATCAAAGTGAAGCTTACTCCAATACAATAGTGATAACCGCACCTAAATTGCTTAAGCAGTACCTGATATTAGTAAAAATGCACAGATAAAAAATGTAACAGAAAATCAATGTATTGGTTTCTATTATATTGATAAAGCCCCTAATTATAATCTTTCTGATATATCTTCGATTAGAAACCGATCTGCGACATTTTTATTATATGAAATATTTTACACGTTTATATGTAAAATATATAAAAATAAATATGTTGTCATTATTTTGTCTTTGAGGTGCCATATTTAGGTTTAACATTGGTTTGAAAATTTCATGATATATGACATTCACGTCTTGTGTTCATGTAATATTTATTATATTTATTTATTAAATAAATAAATATATTTAGGACCATAAATATTTAGGATGAAATATAACATAGACTATATTTTGAGCGGATTGTATATGAAGTCCCATTATGAGATGAATTTATCACTGCGTTTGCTTATACGGGGTCGACGAAAACTTTTATTCCTCATCAGATATTCTCTCTAAGTCAACTTAAAAATGAATCTGTATTTCTGTAATCCTGTACAAGCTCATTTGAAAAGAATAAGAGCTTCTGTCTATTACTTCCCCGAGTAACGAGGATTGATACTTCAATTTACAGACTATAACAGTTACTCTAGTTCTTGAGAGCGGAAGAGCGTTATTACTTATTAATAATTTCATTACTAGCAAAACGAGTATGCTATCGTTCCTCAAGTTGATTCCCTGGAAACAATAATGCTTAATTCCAGGCTACTTAACATGACCTGAGTTTAATCTCATTCTATCATTATTTACAGGTGTCCAGATAATTCTTTATTTAACTTAATTTAGAACATTTATAATTAACTCATAAGGGAGAAGAGATTATTAGTTTAGTAATGAGGACAAATAACAATGGTCTAACACTAATGGATACCACTGTATTATTTCTAAAAATGTCTAGTCAACTTCCACATAACTTCGCTGAATTATGCCCAACGATTTTCAGAACAGACCCTTCTGAAAATCATTATAGTTATAATTCCGTGTGAATTTTCAACAAAACTGTCCTTGAACTCACTATATCAATATATTATCATCTTCCATTTATGTCCTGATACTAATTGTTTAAATTAACAATAAACATAAATAATTAACGTAAACAGGTTATAAGTATAAATAGTTTAACAATAGGTAAGTACGGTTTATGCGTTAGGAATGAACGATAATAGCATAAAATTATCGTACTCACGTCAAATGGTTATCGCTTAATCGAATTTATGTACTGTACTATATACGAGATTTACATAAATATGTATTTGCTCATATTATGGAATTATGCATTTAATAATAATAATAATAATCTCAGGATAATTCACACAGCGCCATCTAGACCTTGTGGTTAGGCTGTGCTAAAGCTTGTGTTATGGGTACTATACATATACATAGATTTTTTTTGTAAATACATACATATTATACATAGAAAACACAACACACAAATGTTTGTGCCGTGCGAGAAATCGAACCCGCGACTATCGGTCGTAAAGCGGTGTGCATGACCGCTAGACCACCGAGGTCTTCATATTTAGATATGCTCTATGTCATAGAGCATTTGCTCTTAAACAATATTAGTACAAGGACAATCGTGCTGATTTTGCATCTAATTACATTATTAAAATAATAGCACAACCGAACTAATTTTAGGAAATTAACGTATTTTGGACTCTATTTCTGCATTTAGCCTCTCTGGTTTGGATTGTTGTGCGGGTAAAATATCTTTATGCATATTTTTAAATGAGGAGTGTTTTAAACATAATAATAAAAAAAGACAGACCGATTTGTTTGTCTGTGGAACTGTACCTCCAAGTGCAAGGGCCGAATTCAATGCAGTTTTTTGTTTGTAAGCTAATGTGATTCAGTTGGTTCTTAGCTATAATGTATTAGACTTTTCTTCTCGTCTATATGTTTCTTGTGTCTACTTATAAGTATATTTTTTTAAATTATAAAGAAAACCAAACTCTTTGTAAGTTAAATAACAAATTTACTTTCGCATAAATTAATATCAAAATTATGAATATACTATGGAACTATTGGGTAATTGTTATCGATTACTCATAAACAAACCGCTGAATATAGTTGAACTATATTATCTAATTACCTACACTTATAAATTAGTCCGTAGCTATTCTAAGAATAAATGTATACTCATATATGGTCATACTACTCATAAAATATGGAAATTATTACAATTATCCACGTGCCTGTGTATAGTACATCTGGATCAAATAAGATATCTTTATGGTACACTAGTTGTCAGGCGCAATTTCATCTGAATCACACTTACTTGACATATATATTTTTCCAATTTACATAATATCTATTTAAATTATAGCCTATGTGTTAATTTGATGTATAAGCTATATTACTGTAAAATCCGTTCAGTAGTTTTTGAGTGAAAGAGTAAGTAAGTAGTCGAGTTT